CAATTTCTTAGTGGTTTGGATGAGTCTTATAACCAAGTTAAGAGTCATATATTGCTTATGGATCCTCTTCCCAATGTCAAAACTGCTTTTTCAATCATATCTCGTGAAGAGTCTCTTCAAAGGAATGGATCCCTTTCTAATGACTCTCAATCTGGTCCCAAGAATCAACCTAGTGCTTTTAATAGTAAATTCAATAATAAATTTTCTGGTAATTCTGGTAATAAAAACAAAGGTTCAGCTATTCAGTGTAAAAATTGTGGATTAAAAGGACACACTATTGAAAAATTTTATAAACTAATTGGGTACCCAAAGGATTATAAACCTAGGAGTGATGTTAGTCAAAATAGTCAAGTTAAAAGTTTTAATGCAAATTCATCTGTTGTTACTCCTGGATCATCTGATCCTGGAGAGTCTGAATTTTGTCAACTTACTAAGGATCAATATGCCAAGTTTCTTAGTCTAATAGGTGAAAGAAAGTCCAATGAGGAAGCATCTGTCAGTTCTAATATGGCAGGTACTTGCTTGTTTAATGTTTTTAATTCATCTTATAATGGTAATAAATGGATTGTTGATTCTAGTGCTAGTCAACATATGATAGCATCAGAATCTCTTTTGCATGATACAGTGGATGTATCTAAGCTCAATCTTCTTGTTAGTCATCCTAATGAAACTTGTGCTAAAATAGAAAAAATTGGAAACTTAAATGTTTCAAACTCCTTAACTCTTTTTGATGTGTTTGTTGTTCCTGAGTTAATGTAAATTTGATGTCAGTTCACAAGATTTGTAAAGATAATAAGTGTGAGGTTGTTTTTAATGAACATAGTTGTAAAATTCAGGATTTACACTCAAAGGAGATGGTGGGGAATGGTAGTGAATCTGGAGGTCTCTATTATGTTGATAGTGTACCTTCTGGTAATTCCTTTAGCTCTAATTCTGTTGTATGTTATTTTTCTAAATTAACATGGCATAGTAGACTTGGTCATCATTCTGATCAAGCTCTGGATTCTTTAAAAACACATCTTAAATTTGGAAATGAGTCCTTACCTCCATGTGATGTTTGCCATAAAGCTAAACAAACAAGGAGTTCCTTTCCAACTAGTCAACATATCACTTCTTGTTTAGGTGAACTTATTCACCTAGATGTGTGGGGTCCCTATAGAGTGATCACTTCAGAAGGTTTTAAGTTCTTTCTTACTATAGTGGATGATTTCACTAGGGCAACTTGGATTTACCTGCTTAAGTCTAAAAGTGAAGTTTTTTCTTGTGTTACTACATTCTTTAATCTTTTATTAAATCAATTTGAAGTTAAGATTAAAAAGGTTAGGTCTGATAATGGGACTGAGTTTATAAATCATAACATGAAAACTTTTTTTGAAAATAGAGGTGTTATTCATCAAACTTCTTGTATTCATACACCTCAACAAAATGGGGTGGTTGAAAGAAAACATAGACATATTTTAAATGTATCTAGGTCTTTAATGTTTCAGTCAGGACTGCCATTGACTTTTTTGGGGTGATTCTATTTTAACAACAGTTTTTTTGATTAATAGAACTCCCACTTCTGTATTAAAAGGAGCCTCTCCTTATGAACTTGTTTATAAGTCTATTCCTAGCTTTGATAAACTTCGTGTTTTTGGTTGTCTATGTTTTGCAACAAAACTGAATAATTTTGACAAATTTTCTGAACGTGCTGAAAAATGTGTTTTACTTGGCTATTCTTTAGAACAAAAGGGTTATAAGGTTTTGAGTCTTGATTCAAATTTTGTCTTTGTTTCCAGGGATGTCAAATTTTACGAATCTGTTTTTCCATTCAAGCTTAAACCTTTAATTGGTGATAAAACTACTATTTTGGATAATCCAAGTGACCCATTTTCCTATGATGACCCTCATTTATCTAGTTCTCTTCAAGAAAACAGTAGTTTAGGTGACTTAGGAATAACCCTTCAGTCTGAAGGTACTAGAGCAGTTCATAACCTGGCTGAGACCCCTAATGATGAGGTCAACAACCAGAGTGACAAGGCACATATGCAACAGAATGTTGTGGATGTTCCTAGTTCATCAACTATGTCTGAGGATAGTATTTTAGAACAAATTAATCCTTCTGATGATCACTTGTTAGGTACTACTCGATCTGGTAGAAATGTTCGTTTACCAACAAGATTTAATGATTTTGTTGTGGAAAGTTCTCGCAAGTATGGATTAGAAAAATCTGTGAATTATTCTTTGTTAACCAATGATAGTAAATGCTTTGTGTCTAATCTTAATAAAACATTTGAACCTAGTACTTATTCAGAAGCTTCTACTGATCCAAATTGGATCAAAGCCATGAATGAGGAAATGGAAGCCTTATATAGAAATCATACTTGGGATATTGTTGATCTTCCCAAAGACAGAAATCCTATTGGCTGTCGTTGGATCTATAAAATTAAGTACAAATCTAATGGTGAGGTTGAGAGATATAAAGCTAGACTAGTTGCTAAAGGGTATAATCAAAGAGAAGGAATAGATTATGAAGAAACTTTTTCTCCTGTTGCTAAGATTGTTACTGTTAGGATTGTTATTTGTGTGGTTGTTAATAATTTGTGGCCTCTCTATCAATTGGATGTTAATAATGCTTTTTTATATGGTGACTTAATTGAAGATGTTTATATGACTTTTCCAGAAGGTTATCATACTAAAAATGATAGTAGAGTGTGTAAACTGGTTAAGTCTTTGTATGGATTAAAGCAGGCTCCACGAAAATGGAATGAAAAATTATGTTCATCTTTATTAGGTTTTGGTTTTGTTCAAAGTTTAAATGACTATTCTTTATTTGTTCGATCAAAAAATAACACCATTGTCATTTTACTAGTTTATGTAGATGATATAATTCTAACTGGTAATAGCATTGTAGAAATTGAAAATGTAAAATTGTTTCTTAAGTCACAATTTAGAATTAAAGATTTAGGTTTATTGAAATATTTTTTGGGAATTGAAGTTTTAGCTACTGGTAGTGGTGTTTGCTTAAATCAAAGGAAATATTGTTTGGAGTTATTACATGAGTTTGGTATGCTGGGTTGTAAGCCTATTAAAACTCCTTTGGAAGTTATTTTTGTGTTTAATAGAGATTGTGATGATAATTCAGATCTTGTAAGTAATATAACTGAATTTCAAAAACTCATAGGGAAACTGATTTATCTCACTGTTACTAGACCTGATATTAGTTATGTTGTTCAAGTGTTAAGTCAATTTATGCATAAGCCCAGGAAATCACATCTAAATGTTGCTTTCAGATTATTAAGATACTTAAAAGAATGTCCTGGAAAAGGTGTTTTATTTTCTAAATCTAATAGTTTTGATATTGTTGGTTATGTGGATGCTGATTAGGCAAAGTGTTTATCAACTAGAAGGTCTGTTTCTGGATATTTGGTATATTTAGGTGGTACTCTTATTTCTTGGAAGAGTAAGAAACAAAGCATAGTGTCCAGATCCTCAACTGAATCTGAATATCGTGCTTTGGGTTCTGTAACATGTGAAGTGTTGTGGGTTTTAAAAGTTTTAAATGATCTTGGTTTTAAAAATTTAACTCCTGTTAAATTGTTTTGTGATAATGAATCTGCAATTAAATTAGCTTTAAATCCAGTATTTCATGAAAAAACAAAACATTTTGAAATTGATGTTCACTTTGTGAGAGAACAAATTGAAAGTGGTGTTTTGAAATTATTTAAGATTGATTCTTCTAATCAAAATGCAGATATTTTAACTAAGTCATTAAATTCTTTTCAACATGAGTACTTGTCAAAAAGACTTGGACTTTTAAATTTGTTTTCTGGAAACTGATTTTTTTTCAAATAATAAGTTTGAGAGGGGGTGTTAAAAGGTAATATAAGTTGCAAACTTATCATTTGTGGTAATTGGTCATTTTCTGTTATTTATTGTTTGTAGAGGGGTGTTGTGGTATTTTTTGATATTGCAGGAGAAGTTTTATACGCGGGTTGTTTAGCCTGGATCCAGTTTGTTGCCCCAATGTATTTAATGTTGAAGTTTCAGTCATTTGGGGAGATATTCATTTTGTGTATCATTTTTCTCACTTGTTAGGTTCTCTCCAGTTTAGGGTTTTCTATTAGGGTTTTCAGTTCATCTTCTTTGATCTTGTATCAGTTTGTTCTTGAATAATCATTAGAGAGCTGAGAGTGATTGTAGTGAGGTTTCGTTTGTAAATCGTTTGATGTAAACCAACTGTTTCATGATTAAATGAAATGTTGATGTTGGGAAACTGTTGAGTTTATGCTTTCGTACATATGTTGTTCAACAAATTTGTCTTCCATAGATGATCCTCCTGAGACCCACTTTGGCACTTTAAAAGTGTATATTATAGTATTTTAGTCACAACCTACATATTCATGCCTCTAACACCATGAGTCTTATTGCATATTTTGATGCAGACGGATGCCTTTAATTTTTATTTTTATTTTGGTAGTTATTAATTAAAGAGCTTTTCGTAAAACTTCTAAGAAAAAGTGTCTTTGGCATGCATGACTAGTAACCAGCAATTTCTGTTAAACAAGTGACATGTTCAGGATCGAAATATTGTGAGATAAAGTAGTGAACGAGTGATATGCATGTTTTCCTAACATCTCAAAAGCTAGTCCATTTGCTTTATTGCCTACCATGGATGTGATTTACTTTATATCCTATATATAGAAAAGTTTACTTATTTAATAATTATTAGTATGCATCCGTCAGCTGGTTAACCCTAAGATGTTACAGTCGTGCCCGAAAGAACGAATGTCACAGATAGTGGTAGGAAAAGTCATACAAGTAGACGACATCACTATATCACATGTAACGCGCCTTACTAAATGTTCATGAAGCAGTCTCTATTTTGCTTTATCTCATGAAATACACGCACCCACAAATGTCTCCATCAAATTCAGTATTTAGTATTTACCACGTCTCTCTTCGCTCCTTTTTATAAGTAACCATCGTGCACAGCTTCCCACAACACATGCAAAACGCAAATGGCTTCATTACAACTTCCTGTTAATTCAACAGTAACACACCGCCCTCATTTCGTGTTGTTTCCCTTCATGTCCAAAGGCCACACCATCCCATTACTCCACCTAGCCCAACTTCTCACAAACCGTGGCATTACAGTCACTGTCTTCACCACCAAAGCCAACCGACCTTTCATCGCTCAGTTTCTTGACAGATGCCCGGATGCTTCAATCATTGACCTGCCATTCCCTAATGATGTTGAAGGAATAGATAAAGGTATAGAGAGCACCGATAAGCTCCCTACTATGTCCCTCTTCAGGCCATTTGTCACTGCAACCAAGCTCATGCAGCCTTACTTTGAACAAGCACTCAAGAATCTCTCTCATGTCACGTGTATCGTTTCTGATGGGTTTTTAAGTTGGACACTCGCATCGGCTAAAAAATTTGGAATCCCTCGCCTCTCGTTTTATGGTATGAACAACTATGTAGGTGCTGTGACTCGGGAGGTGGTTTCAAACAGGCTCTTTTCAGGGCCTGAGTCAGATGACGAGCTGATCATGGTCCCGAGGTTCCCATGGATCAAAGTCACTAGGAATGACTTTGATGAGCCGTTTAACCAGAGGAACCCAACGGGTCCTTACATTGACTTTATAACGGAAACTGTCATAGCATCGGCTAATAGCTATGGCTTGATTACAAACAGCTTCTACGAGCTCGAGCCACTGTTTTTAGACGTTTTGAACCGTGAGTCTAAGCCCAAAGCTTGGTGTGTCGGACCCCTTTGCTTGGCTGTGACCGAGTCACTGCCAATGGTTGACCGGAAGCCTGAATGGATTCAGTGGCTGGATCAAAAGCTAGCTAAAGGATGCTCGGTTTTATACGTAGCATTCGGTTCTCAAGCAGAGATATCATCGAAACAGTTGGAAGAGATATCAAAGGGTTTAGAAGAATCCCAAGTGAATTTCTTGTGGGTGGTGAGGAAGTGTGAGACGAGTGTTTATGACGAGCTACAAGAAAGAGTGGGGAAAAGAGGGATGATTGTAAGAGAATGGGTTGACCAAAGGGAGATTTTAAAGCACGAGAGCGTAAAAGGGTTTGTAAGCCACTGTGGTTGGAACTCAGTGTTGGAGAGCATATGTTCAGAGGTTCCGATACTAGCGTGGCCAATGATGGCTGAGCAACCTCTGAATGCAAGAATGGTGGTGGAGGAGATTAAGATCGGTTTACGGGTTGAGACATGTGATGGATCAGTGAAAGGGTTTGTAACATCAGAAGGGTTAAAGAAAATGGTGAAGGAGCTCATGGAGGGTGAAAAGGGGAAAGAGATAAGGAAAAAGGTGAAGGAGATTGGTGAGGCTGCAAAGGAAGCAATGGCAGAAGGTGGATCATCTTGGCGGACATTGAACGAGCTCATAGATGAGTTACAGGCCGTTAGATCAAACTCCAAGTGAATGATCTCATTTTTGGCTTTTTGCACATCATAATGTAAACAAATATATATATATATATATATATATATATATATATATATATATATATATATATATATATATTTCAAATGTCATAAAGATACAACAATACCATGTCTATGCACAAAGCATATGATATAAAGAAAGAAAGAAGAGAGACATTGAACTACAACCATGCTGGATTCTTGAGATGAGTGACAACAGCCTTGACTTGTAGGTAGTTACTGAGACTATAAACTCCCTTTTCTCTCCCATGTCCACTCATCTTATACCCACCAAAAGGAATTGCAGCATCAAAAATATCAAAACAGTTAATCCACACAGTTCCCGCTTTCAGTGCACGTGATAATGTATTAGCAGTATCAAGATTCTGTGTAAAAACACCAGCAGCTAGTCCAAATTGAGTATCATTTGACCTTCGAATAACCTCTTTGATCCCCCTGTTTAATAATAAAACAATAAGTAAATAGAAAAAAAAAAAAAAAAGTGAACATATTTTGATGGATGATAGCTTACTTGAATTTTAGAATCGATTGCACTGGTCCAAAGATCTCTTCTTTTGCAATGAGCATGTCATCCTGGACATTTGAGAAAACAGTGGGTTGGATATAGTATCCTTTCAACCCAAATCTTTCACCTCCAGTTTCAAGGGTAGCACCATTGTCAACACCAGATCTTATGTACTTCAAGATCTTCTCAAATTGATCAGAATCAACCTAAAGTATGAATAAAACTCAAGCTTCCAACTTGAAATGAAAAAAATAAAATGTTTAAATAATTATAAGAGGCAATATATATAATATACCTGAGGACCTTGTTCAACACCTTTCTTAAAAGGATCGCCGACCACACGTTGAAAAGCACGAGCTTTTGCCTTTTCTAGAAACTCATCATAAACACGTTCATGTACATATGTACGTGATCCAGCACAACAACATTGGCCCTGTAAATAATAAATATCAGTAATTAAACTGTGTTTGATGTTTTTATTTATTTATTTTAGTTTATGGAGGAAAGTTGGTTGCCATTTGAGGGAATGAAAAAACCTGATTGTAGAAAAGAGCATTGTGTGCCAGGTCAACAGCTTCATCAACATTGGCATCTTCACACACAATGAAAGGAGATTTCCCACCGAGTTCTAAAGTCACTGGTTTAAGATTGCTTTTTGCAGCCAATCCGAGTACAATTTTACCAGTTTCAGTGGATCCTGTGAAAGCAAGCTGCATAAAAAGCTTTCAAGTTAACATTGATATAAATGATAAATAGGGTAAGTTACATTTTTGGTCCTTGTGTATAGCTGATTTTTGCAATTTTGGCTTAAGGTCTTTATTTGAGATTCTAGTAAAGTTTGAGGGAACAAAAGCATTACAACAAAAAAGGACCAAAACTGCAAGGGAAAACTTTTGGGGATCAAAACTGAAAATAAACTATACTAATGGACCAAAAATGTAATTTACTAATATGATTTGATTTAAAAGATGGTATACAGACCTTATCCACATCCATATGGCTAGCAAGAGCAGCACCAGCACTGGGACCATAACCAGACACAATATTCAATACACCAGGAGGAAGACCTGCCTGTCATTTGCAATCAACATAGAATGTCAAATAGAGGAGAATAGCAGTGTACTTTACTCTCACTACCGATATGGGCAATGTATTTTATCATTTACACATAATAGCATCATACTTATATGTTGCTATATCATACCATTTACCCTTAAAAAAAAAATATTACCTCATGGAAAAGCTTTGAAACATAGAGGGCAGACAATGGTGTCTGTTCAGCGGTTTTAAGTACTATAGTGTTACCACATGCAAGTGCGGGCCCAACTTTCCAGGCATACATAAGAAGAGGGAAGTTCCATGGTATAATCTGCCCTGCAACACCGATAGGTTCATGTAGAGTCTGGACATGATAGGGTCCATCAGCTTGAATTGTGAGGCCATGGATTTTATCAGCCCAACCTATGAAAGATCACAACAGAAACCAAGAAAGATGATAACTTTTAGAATTTTGAAGATAGTTTATGTAATTAGATTCTGTTTTGAAATTTGAATCTACCACTGCTTACCAGCATAATACCGGAAAAGACGAATGAATAATGGTATTTCATCTCCAGCTGCCTGTTCATATGGCTTCCCGTTATCCCAAACTTCAAGAGCTGTTATTTCATCAGCATGTTGCTCAACCAAATCAGCAAAACGCAACAATATTCGAGATCTTTCCTGGAAACATATATACAATATTCATTAGTTCTAATGATTAGAATGATGAAAAGAATGAAGAAATAGTTAAATAGAAAGCTTACATAAGCTGTCATTCGAGGCCAGGGACCTTCATCAAATGCTTTCCTTGCTGCAGACACTGCACGATTAACATCTTCTATATCGCCTTCAGCAACATTGGCAATCAATTGCCCTGTTCTGGGGTCTAAGGTTGGAAAAGTCTTCCCTGAGCCACAGATGGGTTGATATTAGTTCTTCAACATACTTGAGTTGTGCACAGTAACAAAAAGACACACTGTATTGAAGAGCTTACCTGATGCTGCATCCACAAATTGTCCATTGATGAGGAGCTTGGTGTATTCAACCTTGACAGGTGGAATTATTGGTTCTTCTAAAGCAGCAGCTGTACTAAACCTACCGATGCCTCTGCCTCTCCCAGAGATGCGGTCTGATTCATCAGATTGATCATCAAAATGAGTTAGCCTCAGTAACAATATGAAAATGGTAAGAATAGTCAACCCACTGAGGTACTTGTTTTGACTAGAAATCAAAAAGGCAATGATACCAACTTTTTGTTCAAGTTAACAGTTCAAAAGCACATTCACACCAACCTTTAGATTTACTGTTATTATCAAGTGCAAAGAAAATCTATTTAAGAAATTGTTGAGGTGAATCCATATATCAGTCCAAAAAAATATGAAATCGAACAAAATCTTCGATTATAACAGTTTTGAAGAGTAACTATTAGAGAAACTTAAAATGATCGCACGATCTCAAGGAAAAAAGCATAATTGAGTAAGAATTTATGAGCAAAATCTAGAAACATTTCGTTTAACCTAACGATCGTAAGAGAGCAGGAGCGTAAGAAGAAGAAAGCAGCGACGACATTCTCCGAGCAGCCATTTCTGCAAAAAGTAAAGATCAGCGCTAGCAATGATATGTATATATAAACGTTAAGAGATCAAACTAAGTACGCTCCAAAAAGGTTTGTTTAGTTGAGAATCGTGAAGCTGATGCAGCATCAGGATAATCACAAAGAGACGATTCAACGGATTACCTCTGAAAAAGTTGGAACAGCCAGCGTATCAAGTGCGACTCCTGTTTTCAGTCTATATCCTCACCACCAAACTAGTCATGAATAGACAGTAGACTATTAAACACTACATACAAAAATAGATATAAATCATAAATGAACACTACCTACGGAAATAAATAAATGAGATATTGACTTTTTTTCTAAAAAATATCATAATATGTCGATGATATTGGAAATTTTGAATTTTTGGATATTATACAATCCTTTAATTATGAGGAAAAATATGAAATAGAGCTTTTTCTAAAAAAAAAATACAAAAATACCTCACAAAGTAACAGAAATAGTACACTGTAACATTTATAGAAACAGACCCTGTAAAAAATAGCTACAGATCTGGTCCTTGTTATTTAGAAAGTTATATAAATGGTCCCTGGAAAAAATTAAGGGTTACAAAAATAGTCCTTGTAAGAAATAGTTACAAAATGGTCTTTGTTAAGAAGTACATACATAAATAGTCCTATGTAATAATGATATTACAAAAATGGTCCTTGTAAGAAATAGTTACAAAATGGTCTTTGTTAAGAAGTACATACATAAATAGTCCTATGTAATAATGATATTACAACAATGGTCCCCGTATAACTACAAGATTTCAGAAATAGGTCATGTAATATCAAAATTACAAAAAATAGTCACGTATAATACGATACATTATAAATGAAAAGAGGCCCCGATATTACATAAGTGGTCATTGTATAATAGCAACATTACATAAATTGATTTATAATATCAAAACTATAGAAATGGCCACTATGTAACACCAAATTTACAAAACGGTCCATGTGTAAGAAAAAACTACACTCATGTACCATGCATACTAATGAAATTATAGAAATTATCAATGTGTAACAAATATTACATAAATTATGTCTAAAATATAGGATTAGTAAAAGAATATTATATAATATAAATTATGTCTAAAATATAGGATTAGTAAAAGAATATTATAGAAAATGTGTTTAAAATATATGATTAATAAACTTGCCTCCACTAGTTACTATAGTTTTAAAGGAGGTGATAAATATGTTCTCTATTTATTCATTAAAGAAAATGTTTTTGATTTTTATATTTTATGTCATGATATTTTATTCTTTTATTTGAAGGAAATAAAATTCAAATCATGTTTTTTAAGTAAATGAATCATAAACATAAGTGGAAATATCACTTCTAATTTTTTAATCTCCTATAATGTCCAATATTTGCGAAGTACTAATTTTTGAAGATAGGTTTTGTTCGAAGTAGTTCCTTATATTTAGGATGATGTTTTTTTCACGACTTTTTCATGGATTCAAAAAATTATTTTTGAAAATCATTATGTTTTGTTTACATAAAGAACATGTTCGAAAATTAAAATAAATATCTTCAAAAAACTGTGAAGAAATTCCTTATTCGAAGTTTTTTTTACACAAACATAAATACGTTATTATTTCTTTGAAAATCTTGAACTAGTTCAAAAATCATGAAGATTATACGTTTGAAAACCTAGAAATAGTTCGAAAATCATGAATTATTTTTGTAATACTCTTCTGTTTTTAACTAATATTGTTTTTTTTTGGAAAAAAAAAACCAGGTTGTTCGAGAGATTATCAAAACAAGTTAAATTAAGCCAACAAATCAGATATTCATAATCAGTGTATACTTCAAAAAGCTTAATGCTTAGCCACAAATTTCATAACATGTTATATATTTGCATCATTACCGAGTACCACCACTTCATAATCTAAATAAATACCTTGTGTATTTTGAAAATGAAAGTAAATATGTATCTCTTCTAAGTAACTTAATTCATGCAATGTCTACATCAAAGAAATCTACCATAGTGGCTTTACAACAACAAAAAGTAGAATATATTTAGAAATACAGAATGACCATCAACATAGTTTTAAAATACTAAATGTTTTGTAAGATAAGTTGATTAACAGTAAACACAAAGCGATCAAGATTGTGGACGACAGTGAACATACCATAGATAATCTTAACTTCCTCTTGTGTAATGTGTACAGTCACGTCTAATTTTCCATATTGTAATCACCATTGTCATCGTCTGTTAAATACTACACCCTACTTCACCACCAAATGATAGTTGAAAGTAGATATAATGAATACCTCTTAATATAGAGAAAGATGAATAGTTGAACTAGCTTAGGGAATAAATTTCACTTAAGCTTGATAATCTTAATTATGACCTTATGTTTGAGGTGGCGGCAATGGAAAGAGTGAGAAGGAAAACATCATTCGATCCTCATGTAACAAACACATAGTCTCACTTATTGACTGCAAACAAATGAAATTAAACTAAGGGACCTTCTGCGTAACAAAATTCAACCATGGGGTTTTGGATAGTGAGAAAAAAACTTGGACTGGAAATGCAATTATGTAACAAACACAAGAACACTTTTATAATTTACTCTAAAATATTGTTATTACTTATCACCCTATTCTAATAAATGAATAGGTTTATTCTCTCATTGACATGTATCATACTATTAGAACTCTTTATTAATATTATATGTCACATATCATGACACTTGGCAACCTATTAATTATCAATTTCAAATTTCAATTTTTAAATTTCTCACTCTAATTATATTAAATTAATAATTGATTCTCCATTTTAAATTTTAAATTTTAAATTTTTTCTAATTATATTAAATTAATAAAATTAGATTAAAAAATAAAATAAAATTAATACAGATTATAAGTTGATATAACTTCACATATTTATTTAAATCAACGATTATAATTTCATATAACTAAAAAAAATATTTGTTAAGTAATAATTTATTTATAACTGTGGTTTTCACGGGTTATAAACTAGCAATGACTAAAAATGTTATTACTTGTAACTGTACACGACTACCATGAGAAAAATCGTTATCTTTTAACACTTGTAATACAGATCATTCAAATGAATATGGTTCAAGATAACCCAATCTTGAACCATATTCATTTGAAACCACCACAACTCTTAAACTTATAATATTTAATTACTACTAATACAAAAACTCTTTCACTTATGATACTTAATTAGTTTATTAAAATTTAATATTAAACACTATAACTCAAAAGATTGTTTCACTTAAATTTCTAACAAATGAAACATATATAACATATAATACTAATTAGTATTTGCAACACAAATATTAGTATCTTATTAGAATCAAAGTCAATGAAATAATGATCATGTCCATCACAAAATTACATTCCTTAACATCTTCAATGTAACAAATTTGCAAAATCTAAAAGTATCTTATACATGTGTTTTTTTTATAAAATGATGTTTTGTGTTTAAGGCTGTTTTTGTTGATCCAAAACTAAATTAATGCTTTTCTTTTCTTTTCTTGAAGATTAATATTTTTAATGTTGATGAACGTTAAAAAGTTATTGAAAACTAATTTATAAATTCAAATTTAACATTTGTGCATTTGTATCTTAATAGGATCAAAGTCGATGGAATGATAACGATCATTGCTATCACCTTAATTATAATTCTTAACATCTTCAAAGTAATAAATTTATAAAATCTAAACATATATTAAGCATGTTCTTTTTTATAAAATGGTGTTTTAGGTTTAGCATTGTTTTTGCTGATCCAAAAGTAAATTAACAGATTTCTTTTCTTTGTTTAAAGTTTCATATTATAAATATAAACAAAAAGCAATTTTTTCTTTGTGAGAGGGTGGTACTAGTACAACTCTTAATACATAATGTACAACTATAGCAATTCATAAGTTACAACTTTAATCCCTCATATTTGAATGATCTGTCACTTGCAACCCTTCTATTTTGTAAAATGATAATTTCCGCTTCTTTACTTTTTAAAATATCACTTTCACCCCTCTATCTTCAACTTTATAAATTGTAATTTTTATCCATTTGTTTTCTAAACTTTTGTGTTTATCCACCGCTCTCGTAGTGTGTGTGTCTATATATATAATATATATATATATATATAGATATATATATATATATATATATATATATATATATATATATATATATATATATATATATATATATATGAGTAAATTATACGAATGGTCCCTATGGTTTGGGGTAATTTGCACGTTTGGTCCCTAACTTATTTTTTTAACTCGGAAGGTCCTTACTGTTTGTTTTTGTTACATGCTTGGTCCCTACAGTTTGTTTTTGTTACGCGCTTGGTCCTTATCTTACCTAAAAAGACTATTATTTAAATAGAGAAAAATGGTGAGGTAGGTCAGGTAAGGTGAGGGGGGGTGGGTTGGGGTGCATTTATTTAAATAAATTAGAAAATCAAGGGCAAAATAGTCTTTTTAGGTAAGACAGGGACCAAACGCGTAACAAAAACAAACAGTAGGGACCTTCCGAGTAAAAAAATTAAGTTAGGGGCCAAACGTGCAAATTACCCTAAACCATAGGGACCATTCGTGTAATTTACTATATATATATATATATATATATATATATATATATATATATATATATATATATATATATATATATATATATATATATATAACATCCTGATGTTGAGGTAATACGCAACAAAAATGTAACATCCTGATGTTGAGGTAATTCAAAATTTTAACCCTAAGTATGAAGATTATTGCATTTTAGCCCTTGTGTATAAGAAATGTTGCAAAATGGCCCATAGTGGCATTTTTGTAAATTATGGGCGGAGCTCACGTACGTTGGGCGTACGTGTCAGGGCCTCAAACCCTAATTTTTAGGGTTTGGACCCAATATAAGCATCATTAACTCTCCAATGCTTATTCCCTTACAAGCCTTTAACCCTCATTTCGTCCATTGCAACCCTAATCTCTTGTGTGTGTTCCTTTGAGCTTGAAAGTGTGTGTTTGTGGTGTCCTTAAAGCAAAGAGAAGAGAGAAGCACCAACTTGGAAGATCAAGACCACATAGATCCAGAAACACCTCACCTCCAAGCTTCATTTTGAGGTATAAAGTTCTGAACTTGATGATCATATATCTAGATCTTGTTTATGTTAGAAGTTTATGCTTATTGGCCCAATATTCTTGGTCCTTTTGGGTATAAGCTACCCT